GTTGACGAACCGCAATCCATCCGGATTGGCCAGGACTGACTCTGCTCGTCAACGAGCAGATCTGGTGGACTGTATATATATGTGTAGGAACACAACCCTTATGGTTCGTGTTCAACCTCATCAATTAAGTTTGTCATTGGATCTCAACCGACCTTTGAGCTAGACAGATTGCCTGTACTACTCATTGTCATCCCAAGCCATCGTTAGGTGTTTCACCCAGGCGACTTACCCCCACTGTTCCAGAACCAGAGTTCATCCTTGAGAACCAATTGAATAGTGCTTATGAGCTTTGCTTAAAGTACAACTTCAACAGAGACCTCCCAACCTGACCCCCTAAAGTAACCCAAATTGAAGCCCAAACCATCTGTTGTTTACCACAATTAGTTGTCACTTCTGTGACTTTATTATGGTCCCACTTTTCCTCTGGAAGCCTGAACACCCACTCAGCATTGGCTCCTGAACCTCTTTGGACTGAACACTCATCACTAAACTTGACAACCTTCTATTTCCAGTTGAAGCCTGTGACCTCCCTGGCATGTTTAAGATGCCATTGAGCAACAGCAGTAGTAATCTTTGGTTGACGTTTTGCCCTGAAGTTCCAGAGTCCATCTTTGGCCAGGGTTCTGCAAATAGTGGTAGTGGAAACAGAGGGTCCCTGGTCAGAGGTGAGAAGCCAACCAAGTGCCTTCTGTATTTCCCTGTACTCAATTTTTGGACAATTTCAAACTAGGCAATGGAGATAATGTCTCTCTCAATGAGATATATGTGGAGGTTGACCAGGCCAAGGCTTAGATTGGTTGCTGCCAGTCATGTTGTACCGCTGGATTGTCTTCTGGATTGTGCAACGTGAACAGCTGAATTCTTCTGCCAGTTTCTTGGTAGTACAGCCTGTAATGGGCTAGGCCCATTGTTAGCGCCTCGGCAACAGCACAGGCCTCGGTACCTCCGAAGCGGACGTACAACCTCCGGTTACCTCCGGAGCGGGTCTGCAACCCCCGAAGCGGGAGTATTAGAATTCTGCAAGTCACGCTCTGGGACTTGCCCCTTATCAAATCCATCAAGTTCTACATCGCATATCGCCCTCAGCGGCTCGCCCCTTACACAGCCTGCCTCTGCCTTAGAGACAATACTATCCCTTTGGCAAACGGACAATTTACCACCTGGGATGCGATCTCCTGAAATTTCAGCTCCAAAAGCCCTCATTGTGGTTGTGCAGTAGTGGGTTGAAGTTGTGATGTTGATCATTGCATTTGTGGTGGTTGGGGTTTGGCCCGTGCGCTGCAAACAGATTAATGCCTTAGTACAGTAACTACGGAGTGAAGCTATACATAAGGAAATATCTACGTTGATGTTGTGTAGCTGTCAACATGTAGTCGTGCGACGTAGCAACCAATCAGCAGATAAGCGCCTATGCGGCCGACTGCAAGGAGACACCTCAACCGTGACAGTGTCACATTTCAAGACTTTGGGGGACGGGTTTCTCTTTGCGACCGCTCCCCACCCCCTCTTCTTTCTACATAAGCCCCTGTAAGCATTTCATAAGCTCATCCACCCATGTCACGGTTTGGGGTCTCTCCTTGTCACGGATTGGGGAGCTCCTGCCTGCCGTACTCCACCTGCCATGAGAGCGACTGCCACGTCACACTAGCGTCATTTACAGCTACCCACCTATATATACTGTTCGTAGCTTCACCCAATACAACCACAGTACAATACTCAACTTCTTCCTTTGCGTACAGTTCACCAACTCCAACAACCCATTAATCCTTTTGTTCGCTTTGAAAATTCTCAATTTCTCGGCTATACATCAGATATGGCGGACCAAACGCCATCTTGCGCCAACTGCAGGGAGACTGCTGCCGTTAAAGGACTTCAAAACCTCAAAGCTTGCACTAGATGTAAGACCACTCGGTACTGTGGTCGCGATTGCCAGAAGGCCGATTGGAAAGTGCACAAGAAAGTGTGCTCTAGGATCGCTACTGAGGCTTTTGCCAGAGCCAACACCGACCACACCAGTTCCTACTCAGCGCCTCGCTTGAGAAACCTCGAGCAGCATGTACCAAACCCATTCACGCGACTTGATCAAAACCTGTATCTACATGGTCGTCCAGAAACAGATGTATACAAGCTTCTCATCGACTCTTTTCGTATGCGCCAAGCGGACGATTTCGATTACGAGTACAAGACCACGCCGCCCAGCGTCTATACCGGCGCGCCTTCCAGCACCGAGCCCTTTCTTCAGTACCTCGCCAAAGCAACTACCCATCCATCTCTGTTGCCACCATGGTTTACGGACGACAAAGCTGGAAAATGCGCTACCTTTGGCAATAGTGGCGCATGGAGCGACCTGAGGAAGAAGGTGACGAAGCCGGAAATTATCCAACATTATGGGGATGAAAAGATGCCGATGCAGCTGCGCATGCTGGCGGAAGTAGTATATGGTACTGGTACAATGGGGCAAGACGGCTCAGGGATGCGAAAGCTTATGATGCAGGTGGAGAATGATGGTTCGGGGAAGGGTCAGGCTATGAGCCATATTGATATTAGCCGTTGAAGTTACGATACCACTAGGCAGAGGAAGTTGCGCGAAACACTTGGAAGCTTTCATGCCAACATTGCCACTTTGAGCGCGAACAGGAACCAGGCCGATGTGGCTATCTACTACAGAGATGGATAGGTCACAGCCCTACTTCTTATACAGCAGGCGACCCTGATCCAGGCAGCCCTATTCAAAACAACAGTCATCCTTGTCCATGTGCATTTGAGCAGTATCTACTGAACAATGATGAGCAAGTCCTGATGGGCATCGGCGGCGGCGGCGGTAGCAGTTAGCGTGCCCCTTTGCCAACTGAGCGGCAGTATTCCAAACGCGTATCTAGATGCATCAGCATGTCCGGCAGTAGAGCCACGCTGCCAGCAAGGCTTTACTGATAGGATACATAGGTGGCTGGCGGTTCGAGGAGGGTAAAGTTAGGGCTGTGATCAAGACCGGTAACGAAGAGCAGGGTAGGAAATGTGTCGCTTGCTCAGCGCCGTTTAGGCTTTCTAGCGGCGGTAATGCGTAGCGCCTGAAGGTTGGAAGTGAGCAACATCCACCAGGAATAGGCCAGCATCAAATCATGCCATAGGTATGGTATTAAGGCCGCGTTGTCGCACCGACGTGGGAAATATTCTTTGTTCTAGTATCGGTGGGTTTCAAAGTGTGCGGACCCCCCCTTGCCTATGGTACCGCATCAAGGCCTTACCCTAGTCACAAGAATACACAACACCTAATTGGCCAGCCAGCAGCAGGTGTTAGCAGTGAAGAAGTTGAAGAGTAGAGCTAGACGGTAACGTGACAATTGTTATGACGTCTGTGACGTGATAACTGATCTGTAGCTTCTGTGAGAGGCTGTGAAGGTATGGGTCAGGGTCTGCCCCACATTATATACCTTACACGTCACCCAAACCTCCAGCTTGGCTTCTTGCCAGGTGAATACTCCTGCAGGTACCCAATTGTGTACCAAATGTAGGGGGTGGTCCGCACATTTTGAAAATCATTCTATTGTGACAGTCTAAGACCACAAGGAGACCTCACCCGTTGTGAGAAAAGACTGACATCTCGTTGCAAGGGCTGTCAGGAGACTGGTTGGATTGAGAAGGGCCACACGGAAGATTGAAAATTTCTGAAAGACCCCGATTTACAAGGACTGCTTGTTTTAGTAAGGGGCAAGTTAAACACTCGCGTGCACTTTCCTCTTGCCATCCCGGGTCGTATCTAGGACCTTACGTCAGTTGTGGAAAGTCAACCTTTGCCTTTCTCCTCAACGTTAAGTCGCTACGTCTATGTTGATCCACACGTGTACTGTTGTAACAGAAGCTGAATTGGCTGGGAAACATTTGATAGACGACAACTCAAATCGTTCTGTTGACTGCTGTGTTGGTCGCACCTAGCTGTCTAGTCGAGACATATGAAGAACTGTTTACACAAATGACATGATATCCTGTTCTATGTTGAGGCTCTTCTGAACTACGAGCGTTACCTTGCGCAAGGTCTGCCATAGCCCAGGCTGTTATACGACCTAGCTGCAGGTTCCGATTCAGTAAGATAGTTGTGACCATATCTGTAACGACACAGGTAAGAGAGGACTCCGATATGGGTTCAAATCCGCTACGAGGTGTATGGGAGCACTGGGATAGATAGAACTAGGAGTAAACCTCTATTCCTATAGGTCTTGTACGAAAGGATACTCAAAAACTATCTACCATAACTATGTACACTGCCCTGCTTATATACCTAACAGCTCCATGTAGCTCGGGGGATACCGGTAGGTAGTAGGGTAGGGATCGGTTAGGAGTCGGATAGCAATCGTGTGAGTAGTATGAGGAAGAACGGTTGGTACGGTTCTTACAATATCTGCCGTTTTTTGTACAAAAATTGAAGAATCGGGAGCCTATTGCAAGATTATTTTCTTGCTTGGATCTACGGTCGTGTAGCCCTTCCTACCTGCGATCTTCGCACACACGAGTACCTTTGTGAATCAGTCACCATGGTAATAGTAGCTAGAAAACTGTCGAGTCGAAGTCACAGAAGCCTACGCAGCCGGGAAGGTAGCGGAGCGGGCATTGCAGAGAATGTCACGGTTGTAGTCTCCTTGCAGGCGGCCACATAGGCGCTTATCTGCTGATTGGTTGCTATGTCGCACGACTACATGTTGACAGCTACCGTGTCTGTGCGCGTGCCGACCGGATTCGCGTGCCGACCGCAATCAGTAAAACACACCTATATTTCAACACACAATATCTCAGCAACCATGACAGTTATCAAAGAAGCGCTTGAAGAGATTGAAAATTTGAAGCTAGGCAAAACACTTGTATACCAGCATATTGCAGATAAACATGGTGTTAATCGCACAACCTTGTTGCGGAAACACAAGCAGTGTAAGGGTATCTGTGACAGCGAGCTTAGTAACAATGGGGGGTGGTCTCATAAGATTAATTGCTACCGTTTTCCTGGCCATTGTGTGCCCGATTATCTATGCGCTCTCGTCCGTACCACGCTAGCGTCCCGATGGGTTAGCGCCATCGTCTCGACACGTGACAGCCTACTTCACTACAGCACCATAACCCCGTTACACAGAGCGCCACAAAAGTTTGAGTGAGAAACTTGTTCATATAGGTCTATAGACTACTCCACCAGAGATTCTCATGATAGTAACCATTGTGTGTGGCTCTACAGCCTCAATTTTGGATTGACAATTTTGGTGTTTCGGCGCATTGCGCGCACAGACACGGTAGTACAGTAGAATACTGAATAAGAATAACACAGTATATACTGATTCTACTGCTTCGCGCGGTTTCCCCCTGACCGACTGCCCTGCGCGGTTACACCTTCATTTACTGCAACTACTGCAACAGAAGGACCTCAACATCGTGCCCACATTGCCACTGTTACAGACAAAGTTCTGTATGAGCAGTACAAGACTGAGATTGAAGCGGAGTGTGCGGCAAACCCCATGTCCTGTAGGAAAGCTTCACAATGGGGGAAAGCTACTTACTTGAAGTTGAAACATCCATTGGGAGTTCAGAGTCTAGCACCCGTTCGACCGCAGCAAGTGCTTATAATGGATCAACAACGCCTACCAATAGCGGGGTCCTCCATGCGCCGGCATGTTTCACCAATGGCTACTCAGCCACTGGAACAGACTCAAGACTGCGAAGACGTCGAAGGCGCGAAGACATGGGCAAGACTGCCTGGTAAAGTTGGCCGCTACCGCTGTGCCCACCGAAATTCGAGTGCCTCGAAGGCACGTGCAACAGCATGATTGCTGCAAGAATGGCTTGACTTTCAGCGGAAAGAAGGCGTCTTCCGAATCAACGGTGAAGCGAGTCAAAGCAAAGAGCAAACAAAATTATGCTGGAGATGAAACCAAAGCTGCGAAAAAGGGCATTATATCATAGAAGCAGACGAACTTCAGAGCAAAAAAAGTCCAGTACAGGGCAACGAACAGTCAGCAAGCCACAACAAGCACGACTACCATAGGGCCTGTACAGCAACCAAGTCTCCCGACAGCTCTCATATCAAGCTACCAGTGGGCAGACCACGTTTTTAAGATCTATTCCTGGTCCATTGTCACAGCCATCCAGCACTATCCCATGTCATACCAAACAATGAGCCTACAGCACCTGCTGAACTTACTATCAAGTCGGTCTCCCAAGCTATGCGGCGATATCTTCGAGACGCTGAGCACCAAGAGAGACAGAGGCCAACAGAGCTTCAAGACTGGCCGCGCTTCGACGAATGATAGGATGCGTCTTTTCGTGAACATCAGGATCAGGGCCTAACGCCAGAAGGGAAGGAGATCCTTCAGCGGCCCGAGCCTTCAACGGAGCGGCGTACGATTCCTAGACAGGAACCAACAATCCCGTCGGAGGCTATTGTTACTATTGAGGAGCTTTCAGAGACTGCCGGTGATACGTTGATAAGCGACAATGGTCAGCCAGCACCTTCACTGCATCTCTTTATCTCAGGCTCCGCACCTTCCCATTTCCGGCTAGCGCCCACAGCTTCCTTCTGTGTAGATAAACACCACATCGGTAGCTATTAATACACCATGATTCTGCTCACATTCTTCCCTTTGACAACAATGATGCCGACTCAGTGTTCGGAAGCGATGAAGTACATGTCTCAGCTACCACAAAGCAACAGCGAGAAACTGCAGGAGTTTTCTTCTGTTCTTTTCTCCGAACTCATGCAATTGTAGCGTATGCTTCGAGCAAGCTTAGATGTAACCCAAAGATTTCATCAACAATGACCCGTCCCACTCGAAAGCGTTCAAGCGCTGAACAAGCGGGTCCTGAGCAGCGGCAGCGTGTTCATACAGAACGAGACGAGCCACTCGCGCTTAATTCAGCCGGAGAAAATCGTCCTGATATGAGAACACCATCCCCGACTGCTGGAGCAAAGCGAACAAGCACTGACTTAGCAACTAACGAAGAAGATGATCCAGAATTGACAATCGACGCTCGCGCAATTTATGAAGCAAATAAGCAAAAAAAAAAAAAGAATGGTACGACAAAGACTACTCATTGAGACTAGGTATACCCGAGTATAACAAGATCAAGCACAACAAAGGTAAATGATTTGTAAAACTTGCTACATGGCAGGAGCGCATGGACCTTGCTACATCGCCAAGGAAGAAATGCAACAATGGAACTGCTGTAAGCAAAGATGTGCATGCGAAACCACCACAATTCCGACCACACCAGATTCAATGGCTCAGAGATTTGGTAGTAGTACTAAAGTACCCATTCGAGAACATAGAAGATCACCAAATAATGTCAAATGGGCGATATGCTTGCGGGCATACTATCGCAATCCACCAGCTGATTGCTGCATAAACGGTGTAGGCGGACACGGAAGCGACAAGCAATCAAGAAAGCCATAGATAGGTAGAGAAAGACTGTGGAAAAGCTTATTGACGAGAAAAAACTTGACGACCGACATAAAACGTGGCTTGGACTGGTATACGCCGGCACTGAAGAAGAAGTACCAATCGCACCTCTACAGGGAACAGCAGCAAAAGAAAGCGGAGAAAGCGGAGAGGGTAAGGGAAGAACAGGAGTAGCAACAAAAGGCACGAGAACCTCGGGAGCAATCCACGATTGCAACTCTGCCGGTTCAGCAGCATCTAGCGCCAGCCATGGGCCAACACCACTCATCTGCTTGCTCAGCGCCAGCCCATGCCCCTCAGGCACCCGCCCCTAATCATGCACCGCGTCCCATTGCGCCGATCCGGCGCAGGAGCAGCTCCAGCGGCATTGTGACAAGTCAAGCTATCTTCCTGACCAATCTGGCACGCACCGATCCGCGTCAACTCAAAGCGCACGAAGCCCTCTACCATGACGCATATTATCGTGAGAATGCGAAAGAAACCCCCGACTTTGCTTTGCTTAAGAAGTGGTACTTAGCGTACTTTCTCAAACAGAAGGGACAGCCACTGAACACTGAGCAGCGAGTAATGCTGGAGAGCGGTGATCCCAGCGACAATGGTGGGAAGCGAGCTGGTACAGCGCAGTCGTTGGGTAGGGTAGATGAGTTGTTTGGTGAGTATTTCCAAGCTGCGAAAATAGAGAACGACGCGGAACGGACACGAAAAACGTCGCTACAGCCGATTGCACCAATAGAGGATGCAGACGTTCAGGCTTCGCAGGCCAATTCGCAGACACTGAGCCAGCATTTCCCGACACCGGTACTGCAGGCACAGTCGTTAACGCCAGCTAGCGCACAGCCTTTCAACGAATTTTTCGAAGAGACAGTTGCAGCACGAACAGTGAGCCTTGAGGAGAAAGCTGTGTCGAATATACGTTTTGAGATCTGGGATCGTGATACCATAGACAGCGGGCTCGATCGCATTCTGGCCACAGGGTCCATCTACCAAGCACAGTCTGCGACGCAAATAGCAGAGCCGGTACCCCAGGGGATGGCAGCGCTGCGGTCTGGAATTTCTTACCTGAGCTCGCTGCCGCAGTCATTGGCCACGGGCAATGAAGCTGTAGACGACGAGATGCAGAAGTTACTGGAGTATGCTTACCAGACAGATCGCACGACATTGCAAAATACTCCAGAAGACGAGCAACTCCTACGCCAGACCACTGAGGAGTCTAAGGCGGACTGGCAGCGGTATTGCGACTTCTACGCTGACAGAGAGTCACAGGCAGTAGACGCACCACCTATTGAAGATCCGATTGTCGGTGAGTTCGATTTCAGCGACCCACTTAGCGAAGAACAACTAGCAGCATTTGACTTTGAGGACCCTCCTGGGCAAGGGGTGTTCGCGCAGTCCGATGTTCGAATAGCTGCGGCGCATGCTGCGAATCTTGCTCGGCATTGATCAATGACGTAAACGCGCTAGACAGAGAAGACTGTCGTTCAAACACAGAGATTCGGAGGGGTCATATAAGGGCATTCAAATGAATGAGCAAACAAAAGCAAATGACATCCAATGGAGCGGAGCGCATGAGGTGTTGAGGAAACAAAGAGATAGACCTGAGAGAAGAACTGAGGAGATAAATGCAAGTGAACAATCTAAGAGGGAAGTACAACAACAAACGGTTTGGCCTGTGAGCATGAACAAAACGGCTTGAGAAGCTTGGTCTGGCGCAACGTAAGCAACGCTGTCAACACGTTACGCGGCCCGCGTTGTCACACTGAGAACAACTAGGGCTGAGCAGTCTAGACTTTGGTGATAGATGTTGCCGCTGACCATGCGGTCGCGAAGGATCAATACTTGACAGCCTCCACATGTTTGCAAGCAGGAATAATTCCTGTCCTCCTGCCGCGTCATCACATCTCGCTGTCCATTGCCCAGAACGAGTGCCGATATCGGAAGTTGCCCAGAAATCGCGCGACATTGTCACGAGATTGAGCTCAGCAGTCAGGCAGAAGTCGATCGCCCGATGACAGCACCCGAAACCGATAGTTCAGCAAGGAGGTGAGGTTGGTCGTTGATAGAAGGCCCCCGATGCTCCCCAGAAAGCGTTCACTAGCGAATTGGTCAAAGCGCGCATGTCGTGCAATGCTCCATCCGTCATCCTGCATCATATCTCTACCTCATCACCTGCATCTCGTCTCCTCACTTTGATAGGGCACTACGCAAGCTTTTGATAGAGAGCGTGCAGCACATTGCGGCATCTCCCTATCTATTGCACATCCCTTCACCCGTCACGTACGGACCTGCACGCCCAATCCGTACACCAACCTCAGGCGCGCATCACCCGATATCGCATCGCCATTGTCAGCTCTATACTTCGCGCGCACCCGAAAAGAAAAGACACCCGGTACTTGTGAGATTGTCGAATACGATTTGATCGCGCATAGCGGCCGATCAATAACGCTTTGAATCCAAGCTACCCGGAAGCTAGGCGCAGGTTGGAAGGTGTCACTGCCAACAGCTGCCGAGAACAAGTACCAAGCCAGACCGCGGTGCTGCCGAAACCCTACGGTACCACGTACTAGGGCACATGCTCTGGTGTTGTATTTGGGGTTGTGCGAATAGGATCGAGCAACACGACGACACGGAAGACTTTAGGCGCGCTGGTCTGGGGAAGCTGCTCTTATAGTGAAGTCGACTTTGCCACCGGGAGTAACTTTTGATCAAGGGATCTGCCTCCTGCTATGCGCCATCTCCACAGCAGCAGATACACCTCGGAAGCTGATATGGATACTGCACCTGCACCTACGCTGTTCTTGGCTTTGCCTGCCGAAATCGTTCAGCACATTCTCAGCTTCCTGTCACTCTCCGATTTACTCACAGTCAGTCTCGTTAACCACGCGCTGAACGAGCATTCACAGCAAGACACATTATGGCAGCCATTCGTGCAAGAACAAGTCCCAGGACACAACGTACCAAAGCCCAAGAACCTGACATGGAAGGAGCTGTTCCAACAACACCACCCCTACTGGTTCCTAGCCAAGAACAAGATCTGGTTCGCCGACACTGCACACACCGGTAAACTACTCGTCGCTCGGTATGACCATAGAATCAACGCAATCGAAGCCTACGCGCTAGTAGCCGAACGAAGGCAACCCGTAATGCAGATATGGGAATGGAACCCAGAAGTCATCATCCACACATTCCAGCCAAAAGTCCAACTAGACCTGGTCTCTCCCGTCATTCGACTCAATGGCAACTCCTACGAGCGCATCTACGGCCACCGGCTCCAACACGAAATCCACATGGACGTGCACCATGAGGCACCCTTGGTGTCCGCCGGCATTCACTCCAGACTGATGCTCACCCGCCCATGGCCGAAAGACATAACCACCAACGCGACTCCCGTCTGGCCGCCTCTTATCCTCCCCAGCGCAGACCGAACGCGGAATGATACGAGTCCGTCCGGTTTCCGCCATACCGCCAGCAAGCCAGCGAGGATGCATGAGCTCTCGACGTCCACGTTCAGGATAAGAAAGTGGATGGAATTCGCCTCACGGCCCAATGGGGTATCGATGCGCATCGGTGAGGATATAACCACGTTCGCCACACTGCGTGAGCACTGCTACACGCCCACGCCCCAGAAACCCTGGCAGGGAATCTGGTGCGGCGACTATGCCGGGCACGGATGCGAATTCCTCCTCGTCACACAGCCAGACGAATCTCCACCGCTCCCCGAGAGAGCGGAATGGGCGATGCGCGCCAGAGAGCGAGAGGGCAGTGTGAGCAGTGCGGGCAGTTGGAGTACCGCGCCCACGCACGCAGACACGTCTTCCTCACCCTCGGACGCGGGAGATATGTTCGAGACAGCGGATGATCTGGAAGACAGCGTGGCGACGCTGCAAGGCGCAGACATTGGGGATGACTACTCGATGATTGATTCCGAAGAACTTGCGACGGGTGATGACGAGTTGGTATGCCGCGGACGCATTGAGGCGATCAAGCTCACGGGGGATCCAAATATACCGCGCGGAGAGTACACGTTCATCGCTCCAGACATTGGTCCGAGTGGGTTGATACGCGTTGCGACCGAGGAGATGTTCAAGGGTGCGAGGATTGTTAAGAGCGTGGGGCATATTGCTGCTCGTGGTTTTAGAGAAGGTATGTGTGCGGGTGCTGGGTGAGAGTGCGCATGCTAACAGATGCAGACACGTACATGACTTCGCAACTCATACTCATCTCGCACGATCGACTGGCGCAGTACTGGGAGACTTTTGGCCATGTGTCGTTTTATCAGCGGGTGGACCTTGATGACTTTGTTGAAGTGTAAGCGCGAAAAGGGATGGGTTGAGCGAATAGCAACGCTCAAGTAATGGAGTGAAATAATCATCTGCACTCAACAACTGACGTCTCCACAAATAGGACATGAAAGATGGAGACAGTGTAAGAACAAACTGATAGTCTAGCTTGCACGCTTTGCCGCGCACATCTGGTATCTAAGCAAATCCACTGCCCAAGCGCCCGCCTTCTTTCCAAACGCCACGCTGATGCCCTAACCCATGATCCAAAGATGGCTGGAGCCATGTACTTCTTCGCCCCCCTCCCCACTCAGTCGAGATCGTCGTCGTTCTCAGCCTTCTCGTCGCCCTTACCGTGAGCAGCCTGCAACTCCTCCTCCTCGCTCTTCGTGCCCTCAGCCTTCGCCTGCTCCGTGGGCATGAGCTGGATGACAACAACGAAGAGTTCAGTGTTAGTCTCCTTGTTCTTGAGTGTATATCTGAGCGAGTGCGGTCTGGTTAGTAAGCGATCATGGTCAGCCTGCCTCCACATCCAAACAAGATTGCTTCATCTTCCTCGTATCCGGTGTCGACAGGAGAGAAGGAGAAGTAAGGGGATCACATACCTGAGTGGTTGCCCGTCCCAGTGCCCAATGATGCTGATGTTGGGCAGCCCGTACCCAATCTTGAGCGCAAACTCGTTGAAGTCCAGATACGGGTTGAAGAAATCGCACTTGTACTCTCGCCCAGCCTCGAAGGTAAAGTTCTTGCGGTTCGCTTCGGTAAGGAAGTACTTCTGCCGCTGCGACGAGCCGGCGGGGATGTGGTGTTCTTTCCTGACGTCCTCGCCCGTCCCGTCCGCGCCCTCGGTGTACACTACCGCCTCGCCCTCCTCGCCGGCATCGACGTTCTCATACGCGCCGTCGGCGGCGCCGGATGCGGCTTCGGCGCTGTCCTTCTTGTCGCCGATGCGCAGCACGTTTATGCTTGATAGCAGCGCGCCGTAGAGGTATGGTTCGTCGCCGTACACGTCGCCCTCGAGACCGGGATCAATCCACCACTTCACGATGCCGAATGCTTTGTCGAAGAGCGGCGGCAGGCGGTCGCGGATTGGGTGCTCGAAGTCGTTTCCAAACACGAGTTTGTCGCCGGCGATATCCTGTTTAGGGACGAAGGAGAATGATATCGAGTAGCGGTCGTAGGGGTGCTGGGGTGTGGAGAAGTAAGGCGAGGTGGAGGGCGAGCCTTTGGGGAGGCCTATCGAGGGTGTCAGCTAGGGCTATGAGGTAAGCAACGCGAGACATACCGCGGTAGTCCTTGACGCGCATATGGATTTGCGCATCGATCAGGTCGGAGGAGATGTGCACCGGCTTCTCGGTGTTGACGGGCACATCTTGGTGCTTTGATTGGTCGTAGGTGGAGCCGGCGGTTACCCGCAGCTCATACTGTTCGTGCAGAGGGGCCATGGTAAATCTAGGGTATCACAGAAGGCGGTATGCAAGAAAGAGAGAGATGATGTCGCAAAAGCTTGTATTTAGAAGGTCAACAAAAGGCGGGACGTTTTCGCAGGCGACACTAGTCGGCGTAGAAATGACGTGCGGTCGCGTTTTTTCGACAAGGGTCTCGAGGCTAGCGCGGGGAAGGCGAGATCTACGGCCTGCATCATGAGCTTATCTGGCTTCCTTCAACATGGTCTCGTGTCGGTCGTGTATTGGAGGGACGTCGGCATTATAACCGCCTGGGTCGTGCAGACGGCCTGGGACAGGAACCAGTGGCTGCTGCCTGACTGTGCCAGACCTGCGCGTCTTCGTGTATGGTGCTAATCGTTTTCGCTATGTCTTGGTCTTGCAGTCTTCGTTGAGCTTGTCGAGGCGCCAAATTTGGTGGAGGTAATAAATCAACTAGGAATGTTGGAGATGTATTGCAAGTCTTCCAAGTGCCCAGTTTCCGCATTCAGCCTTGTAGTCTGCGCTCCTACCAGAGATCCGTAATACTGGGCTAGAAACCCTACACACCCCCAGCAACTGCGCCAGAGAATGCAGGCCAAGCACAAAACTTCTCCAGACACCTCTCTTCGGGCTCTCGTACGCGCCCGCCCCCTTCTCGTCCAAGTCCGGATGCCACCCCTTCTCTGTGTTAACATTCTTCCTCCTTTCCGTCGACTTATCCTGGTCACAGCTCATCGCAGCTCGCATATCCTACACCGTGCCGTTGAAGGTGCAGCAGTAATAGCAACTCTCTGATGCTGGGCAGCCGTTGTAGTTGGAAACGGAGCCGTGTGAAGGGCAGCAGGACTCAATGACGGATGTGAAGTTGGAGATGGGGCCGATGGCGACGTAGGGAGTGTTTGGAGGCTGGGTACTGATTCGGGCACTGAGGCTGATGCCGTACGCAGTACAGGGGTCTGTTGCGTTGGTCCAGTTATTCATTGTGATTTCGGTCGGCTGGGTTGGTGTCGTGGAAGGAGGTGTGTTGAGGAAGTTTGTGGTTGGGATACACAGTGACAATGCCTTGTTCAGCGCATGGCGAGCAGGAACATGCAAGTACTACCTCATAGTTGTATCGCTTCACGACAGGTGGATACTGACGTAGAAAGACGGCCACCGTACTGTCCATCGATACATTGGAAGGTCCATCGTGAGTGTTGTTGTGACTAGTTCACCTTGATTGGAGGTAGTTGGTGTTGTAAAACACAGCCTTGTGGGGCGCGTTGGTGGCCGACATCATTTGCGTTGGCGTCGCTGTCGAGAGCCGAACCGCAGAGCCTCACAACGGTGTCACTCGAGTCCGCAGTGTTGGCAGGCGGGTTTGTTGCAGCAATACTGGATTCGAATGAAAAGGTGGTGTAAAAAGGGCCATCTTGTAGACACACTAGTTCGAATTGAGCAAGGCTTAACAGCAGGAATATCAGCAAACTTGGGTATTATTTGCTTCGCTGTAGATTCGAAGACCGAATCGAGACGCGGAGGTGAACAGAGAAAAGAAGGAGACTTTGAGAAGTTTGGAAACCGCAGGAAACTTTAGGGTATTCAAACTCTTGACCTTACGTTACATGGTATCTACGATCTACAGTCTACACTTTTATATCTAACCTTGCGCTGGACAGTTTACAGCCTCTTGCAAATGTCTTCAATGATCTCGTTGGTCTTGGCCTTACCGCCGAGGTCGGGCGAGAGAAGCTTGCCTTCCTCGAGGCAGGCATCGACAGCGGCGTAGATGGCAGCAGCGGCCTTCTCCTCGCCCTGGAACTCGAGCATGAGCGCCGTCGATCGAATAGTGGCAATGGGGTTGGCGATGCCCTGACCTTCGATGTCTGGCGCGGAGCCGTGGCATGGCTCACCGATGACGAAGTCCTTTCCGACGTTGGCGGAGGGAACGAGACCAAGGGAGCCGACAAGTGCAGCAGCGCCGTCAGACAATATGTCTCCGTACAGGTTGGGTGCGACGATCACATCGTAGTCCTGGGGCTGGCGGAAGAGCTTGTAGACCATCGAGTCGACGATCTGCTCCTCGACGTTGACGAGCTGGTACTTCTGGTCAGCGAGCGCCTTGCGGGCGGTTTCGCGGAAGAGACCGTCGGTTTGCGACAGGACGTTGGACTTGTGGGTGATGGTGACCAAGGGGCGGGAGTGGATGGAAGAAGCGCCAGCATCGCGGACGCGCTGGCGGCGGAGAGCGATGTCACCGGCCATGGCGGAGATGTTGTACGACGCGGTCTCGGAGATGCGCTTGATCGCCTCGGCGATCTTGCTGCCATCAGGCGCAGCGTACGTCTTCTCCTCCTTGACGTACAGGTCCTCGGTGTTCTCGCGAACAATGACGAGGTCGACAGGAGACTTGGCGCTGGCAACAGACTTGACGGGACGCACGTTGGCGTACAGCTGCAGGCGCTTGCGGAGGGCGACGATGGGGGAGGAGTAGCCCTTGGTCGCTACGGTGGGCGAGGAGACAGCGCCGAAGAGAGCGCCATCGCAGTCCGACTTAAGGGCCGCAACGGTGTCTTCAGGAAGGGCAACACCCTGTTTCTGGAAAGTGTCCCAGCCGGCTTCGTGGTGCGAGAAGCTGAACTTCAGACCGAACGAGGAAGGAAGAGCCTCGAGGATGCGGCGGCCGGCGGGGATGACTTCGCGGCCAATGCCGTCACCGGGGATGAGGCCTGGAGAGTCAATTAGCTCCTAGAGTGTATATACAGTTTATTGAAGATGTGTGTACCAATTCTCAGCGTGCGGGCGGCCATTGTGAAGCTGTGGTTTGATGCTGGAGCTGTGACACTTTCGAAAGTTTTGGGAAGTTGCGTTCGCCGAGGACCGGAGCTTTGACGCGGCAAGTCGAAACGAGCTACTCCACGGGGTTGATGCTTCCTTCCCCACAACACCAATGTGCCTACGGAGTACATCAGTCATCGAGCTATGTCTTCTCAGAGCTCTTTACATTGTGACTCAGATCTGCCTGGAATACTCGAATGTGAATAGCGGCAAGTCTGTAAGCGAATGCACTGAGGTTTCTGGTCAAGACTCAGAGAAAGATTAGATCTCTCGGCGTGAGCTTAGTACGGCGTTAAAGATGGTGAATTGCCAAATCATTAGGAAGGATAACGATAGATTGAAGGTTCTCGTCTTACACGGCTGCATGTGACAGCGGTGAATATTTATTGGCCCTGCAGTGCTTCTGCATTCATGTGAACGGAGCTAATCATATACAGGTCCTACTTTCGTCTGTTGGCATTCGAGGCTAGTCGAATACACCTCCGACTTGGCTGCGACATCTGCATGTACGATCCTAGTGGACTACCCGTAAAGGACTACGTTCAGCACTCGCACCCCAGGGTGCTGGAATCGTGAGACTTCTGCATAAGTCCCGATTAACATGGAAATCTTGTCAGTGACTCAGAGCAACCTGCCCTGTATGCTTTGCACTTGACTAACAAGCTTGTTCTTCACAGACCGCAGTGGTTTAAGAATCAGATAGATTGGATATCACTCTAAGGGCGAACGTTAGCGATCGCACAAGTTTCCAGCGGATCCCAATCGTTTGACACTGTAAACTCCCTGCGCATCCTCAGTCGATGGATGCGCATGTTCACTATCCCGAATCAACACTCGATACCCATGGCTTATACACAGTTCACAGATGAGAATGCGAACGATGGAGGAAGTAGGCTCATGCCAAGCGGGAATATAGACAGGCTCGTTCACTGTATGGAAAATTTCGTCAAGTAAACGTTAGTCATGCGGCCGCACTTCGATCTTTTCGGCGATCGGTACAGCGAGAGAGAGGAGAAGAGGACCAAGGCAAAGAATGTGTGGCGGCGTGGGCCGCTATAGAATACTGATAGCTACGGTAAACGCTAACGTAGGACTATCAGGTTGATGGAATACTGCGCTGAATTGCTATCTAGCTGGAAGTTGATGACTAGATACCTGACCTCAGGCCAGTAACCTGTCACACACTAGACTAGGGTAGTCTGTTAGGGGTACAGTCAGACCTTGTACGGACCAACCAATACCGCAACAGAAAGCAAGATCGTCGGATATCAACAACGGTGTCTCTGCGAAGCACATGTGATCGGCAAGGATTCTTATGCTTCGCAATTCCCGGTGTTTATTGATGAGAGGATATGTCACGGTTCAGGGCGCTCTTGCCTGTCGAACCTCACCTGCCATGAGATTGACTGCCACGTCACACTAGCGTTGTTTACAGCTACTCACCTATACATACTGTCCGTAGCTTCACCCAATACAACCTCAGTTCAATCCCTCAATATTTCCGCACATGCGTACTGATCACTCACGATCCTAAACAGGATATGAAGATGTAGGTTGACTGATCTTGTTGATGCTACTGTGAAGGAAACAGACTCTATATATTGCGCAGCTATGCGCAGGTACTGACGTAATGAGCTGGCCAATGAGATGCGCGATAGCTCCGTCGGACACTTATGCCACCACTGGGGCGTACATAGTTCGTTACGGTACAACTGGCCATCACCGAACAAAAAGCATGTACGCTAGTGAACTAAGCATAAAACAATTTAGTTAGACAAAGTGCCCATGGACCTCTTTTTTCGAGTTCATTCAAGAGAAGTGCTGGAGATGGTGTGCAGATGTATGTGGCAGAGGCGGTTTGGGGCGCTTACCAAGCTGTGGTGATCCTTGCGTCCCCAAAGTGACATGCTGCGGCGAGTGGGTGACATGCTGCAAACACAACTCATAAATTGGTGTCCGCAGCCTCGCAAGGGCTCATACCACTCCCTTTCATAACATTCGGATTGTGCAAGAAAGATGGCCTCTCCACTAACAGATCCGTCATCCGTAATGATTAACGAATTCGATAATATAGGCGACCACAATAGCAGAAGAGAGGAAGCTCCTCCGGACGGCGGTTATGGCTGGTTGTGCGTAGCCGCGTGCTTCACGATCAACTGCTTTACCTGGGGCACAGTTTCGGTAGGCCTACGCTGTTAGGATCCGCTCCTGACAGTATCATCCCGATAATTTCATGCTCTGTTTGACAATGGCCCATGAGAGGTGCTCTTTTTGAATCGTTAGTGCTTGTACTGACTCGCTCGTTCAGGCATATGGCATCTACCTCTCACATTATCTGGCCGAAGAAACCTTTCCTGAAGCATCAACATGGGATTATGCTTTCGTTGGCGGCTTCAACTTCTCAATCGCTATGCTCATAGCACCCATCGTAACCTTCCTAACGCGGAAGTTTGGAATACACAAGACAATGATTACAGGCCTAGTATTTCAATGTGGGGGTTTTACTGCAGCTTCTTTCGCAACTCGGATATGGCAGTTGCATGTCTCCCAAGGCATTCTCATCGGCTGTGGTATTGGCTTCCTATATATTCCCAGCTTACCTGTCCTGTCTCAATGGTTTGTCCGGAGGCGCAGCCTGGCCAATGGAATTAGTGCTGCAGGCTCTGGCGTTGGCGGCGCTGTCTTCACGTGGGGTACAGAAGCTATCATTCAACGTTTCAATATTGGTTGGGCTTTACGCATTACCGGTATCATCGCACTCACCGCCAACCTCGCCGCAACAACAGTACTACGGGATCGAAATCATGTGATCCGACCATCTCAGCTTGGATTCGACACCAAACTTCTCCGGCGATACGACGTGATACTGCTGCTTGCCTGGGCCTTTATCAGCATGCTAGGATATGTTATTCTACTCTTCTCCTTGTCCGACTTTGCCTTGTCCATAGGTCTTTCTAGAGCCCAGGCTACCGATGTGATTGGACTTCTGAATGTTGGCACGGCAGTTGGGCGACCGGTTATTGGTACACTTAGCGACAGATGGAGCCGAATTGACACAGCAGGTATTCTAACCTTACTGTGTGGTCTATCATGTTTTGCTTTCTGGCTACCTGCTACGACTTTTGGACTCACTGTCTTCTTTGCAATCATTTGTGGGGCTATCGTAGGAGTCTTTTGGATGGTATGTTGGCTGCCCCGACTCCTTCTATCTTTGTACGGCCCACACGCTTACACTGTTACCCGTAGACTATAGGTCCGCTTTGTGTTGAGGTTGCCGGGGTCGAGAACTTGCAGTCACTATTGTCTCTGTCATGGGTGGCAGTGATCATACCAGCAACTGGTAGGTCTTCTGTTTGTTCCGATGTCACTTAGGCCTAATTGATAATATTCTGTAGTATCTGAGGGCATTGCATTAAAACTTCGACGGTCTTCTTCGTCCAGAGAATATCTCTACACCCAAGTCCTTGCCGGTATTTCTTATATAGTCGCAAGCGGGTTCATGTTCCAACTCCGCAGAGTACAGAGTCGCAAGACACAAAACCATCCGGCGTAAGGCACTTGCCCAATGTTCTCTGTTATCATGGTAAGCTCAATGCGGAGTTATGTCACACTATGGGTGACCTGGTGCAACGATATATCAAAGGCATTGTTGTCTAAAATTGTTCCAAGGCCCATTCATCTAAGCATATAACAATACAAGGAGAGGACGTCCCTAACCTTAAGGAGTTGCAATACAATCTGCTCTCCACGATCTTAATGCTAGAATTTTGACAAGCCAGCGACAGCTGCTAGCGCGTACAGCATTGCTCGTGCAACGCTACAGAGCCTACTGAAAGGTTAACTGTGGAAGGGTTGAGATGTTGATTGATTCTTTTTAGCTATGGGCTAGAATCGATCGAGTCTATATAGTGTTGGGGAAGCAAACTGAGCTAACAA